CCCCCGGGCCTTAGGGTGCCTACCCTTGGCCTAGGGCTTCTGAGAGTTGATGTCCAAAAAAAAAACTGGAGGAACAAAGTTTGGAGACTATTGATCTAGAAGGTCACAGTTGTGCTCTACCATGACAGTTTTGATCAAATACTATTGTAATCTTCATAGATGTACTATTTGGTTCCTGCTTATACTACCCTAGAGTTTAGTTGGAGAGAGGACCCAGGAAAAACTGCTGGTTATCTAGCTCTTATGTCAACAGAGCTTCAGGCACAGTTTTGCAACAGAAACTACTTGGGTTGCCCTATGCAATCTTTGTTATGAAAGGGATGAGGAGACCTTTATCCTGTTGATTTCTTTGGAACCTCTGACAGGCTTTAGATATCATAAATCCTGACATGCTTCTGGATAGGCTGTTTGGATTGGATGTACAAGGCACTATTCAACTGTACTTCTGATTCTGTTTGAATTGCCATTTCATGAAGGTGGTGCTGGAGAATTACTTACTGCTCAACCTCATGCCACTCATTCTTTGCAATAGCCCAGGTTTGAATCTTTATTTCATGCTCCTTAATATCTGCATGGAATTTCTGGAAAAGATCTTCTAGATACCTGGTATGAGGTGTCACCAATATCTGGATGATATCCAGCTTTATTTCTCTCTTTCATTAGGTGCATGAATGCTGTGGTTGTCTTGAATATGGACACAATAATGGAATAGATGAGGGTGGACAAAGTGAGAGTTAATCCAGACAAAACAGAGGTACAGTTGGCATCTTATCCACTGGACAAAAAAAAATGATCAGCTGGGTTTAGATGGAGAGACACAAATGAATTAAATGTCTCAAAGCTCCTTAAATCAACTTTATTTGAAATGGTATCTGTGACCTTTTTCAGGAGTAGGCAAAGTGTGGCCCACTTACACCTAGCCCACAGGGCCTTCTTTTATACCCCTGGGCACCTCCTCCTGAAAAGTCAGTTTCACCATGAAACAAGATAAAGGAACTCCTGCACCTTGGTATCCTCTTTTCTTCTTAAAAACAAAATTGCAAGTGGTCATCCGGTTTTGTTTTCGGGTGGGGGGGCACTGTGGATTCTGACAGATGAAAACTGGGTCCCACACATCCAGGGTTTGCCTACTTCAACCTTACCTGGTCATGATTGTCCATGCTCTCATAACCACGTTTTAATATTATTATCATGCACTGTATGTAGAAGTACATTCGAAAATAGTTTGGAAACTGCTGTTCGTCTAGAAGAGAATAATTAACTTGTGGCATTCTCTGTGACACGATGTGGTGATGGCTGCCAGCCTGGACAGCTTTAAACTGAATATGAAGAACTTCATGGAGGAGGTGGCTATTAGTAGCTACTAGTCATGTGGCTGAATACTCTTTTCAGTATCAGAGGCAATATACTTATATCACTTTCTGGAAAGCATGAGCAGACAAGTACCGTTTCACAGTGGTGTCACTAGGAGGTGTGGTGGTGCGACCTGCACCAGGTGACATCCAGGGAGGGGGGTGACACTAGTGTGGGCCTTCCATCCATGCTCCCCTTCTGCTGTTCCTGCATGCGCCTCCCCCCACACACTGTCCCCATGCTCTCCCGTGCACCATCCTTGTGCATTCCCACACCCTCGGCACCATTCCCGTGCTCACCTGTGCACGCTCCCATCCCATCTTTTTCCTCATCAGCAAAAGGACAGGCAGCATGGGGAAGGGAGCATGCACTGCCCCCAGGAGTCCTGCCCCTGGAAGCCCCCCACTGCACTGGGTGACTCCCAGCATGTGGATGCTACTGGTTTCACATATGTTCTGCTTGTGACCTTCCCATAGGCAGATGATTGGCCACAATGTGAACAAAATGCTAGTCTAGAGGAGACTTTGGTCTGATTTCAACACAATTCTGCTTATGATCTTAAAAGTGCTGCAAGGTTATTAACTGGGATGAGGAGTGTGGCCATATCATGCTTGTTCTTTGCTGTTCTATTTCAGTGTACATTTTCCTGGGCCCAGTTTAAAAGTACCGGCTCAAAATGGCTTGAGACCATATAACATGAAATACTGCCTTCTCCCATTATCTATCTATCTATCTATCTATTCATACATCTATCCACCCAAACCTTAAGATTTTCTTCAGATATCTTTGGTAAATGAAGCAATGCAGGCAAGCACTAAGATTAGGTCTTTTGGTAGCAGCGCCCTGGTTATGAAATGGATTTGCCTGGTGCCATTCTAGCGCTGCTTTCGTTATCACATGGACACTTTTGTGTTCCCCTAAATAAAGGTAAGTAACTTTTGTAAGCTAGGCCTCTTGATTTGAAAATCTGTGTTTTAGCTTGGAACAAAACTTGAAAGGTCTTTCCTGAAAGCTCTTCTTTCATTTATAGCCTTACAGACAAATTCACAGGGGATTAAGCCATCAATATGCAGATGACACCCAACTCGACTACTCCTTTCCACCTCAATCCACGGAGGCTGTCCTAGTCCTAAACCAGTGTCTGTCATCAGTAATGGACTGGATAAGGGCAAACAAATTGAAACTTAATCCAAACATTACAGAGGTGCTCCTGGTCAGTCGGAAGACAGTTCAGGGAATATGAATCCAGTTTGTGTTAGATGGGATTGCACTCTGCCTGAAGACACAGGTTCGCAGTTTGGGGGCACTCCTGGACTTGGCTCTGAACCTGGAGGCCCAGGTCTTTACAGTGACCAGTAGTGCTTTTGCACATTTAAAACTTGTGTGCCAGCTATGCCTGTTCCTTGAAATGCTTGATCTGGCCACAGTGATACATGCCTTGGTTACACCCTGTTTGGACTACTGTAACATGCTGTACTTGGGGCTGCCTTTGAAGAGTATTCAGAAACTTCAGCTGGTCCAAAGAGCTGCAGCCAGACTGTTAACTGGGGCAGGTTACAGAGACCACACAGTACCCCTTTGAAACAGCTCCACTGGCTGCCAGTTTGTTCCTGGGCACATTTCAAAGTGCTGGTTATGACTTATAAAGCCCTACAAGGCTTAGGTCCAGGCTCTTTGGCAGTCTGTATCTCCATGTATGAACTGGCCCAGGCTCTGCAATCCTTGAGAGAAGCCCTTCTCTCCATCCCACCACCATCACAAGCATGGTTGGTGGGGACGTGAGAGAGGATCTTTTCTGTGTCTGCCCCTAGACTGTGGAACTCCCTGCCCAGAGTGGCCAGAATAGCCCCTTCCTTGCTGGCCTTCCACCAGCAGGCTAAGACCTACCTGTTTAGACAGGCTTTTAAAATAGAATGGTATGGCGTCATTTAATTGTTTTAAATTATTTTTAACATTTTAATTTTTTAATTGTATTTAATTCTTTTAGTACTGTAATAATTTAATTCTATTATAATGTACAGTTTTTGTATGGTTGTAAATGTACTGTTTTTTAATGTTGTGAGCTGCCCTTAGTCCATCTTTTAGGAAAAGGGCAGGATATAAATACAGTCGCCCCTCCTTCTTTGCAGGGGATCCATTCCGGACCACCACCACCCCAAAAAACCTGGAGACTCACCAATATTCAAACCCCATAGGCTTGAATGGAGCGCGCTCCATTGAGTTTAATAGAAGTCACCCCTCCGTGAATATGCAAAACCATGGACTTTGAGTCTGTGAGAACAGATGGGTGACTGTATAATAATAATAATAATAATAATAATAATAATAATAATAATAATAATAATAATAATGTAGTGCCTTTTGGTGGCTGTTTGCAGGATGCCGGGTTCTGGAGAGGAATGAGGTATTGCCTCCAAATTCTGCTTGTGGCCTTGTCAAGAGTATCTGGTTGGTTGATGTGGGAAACAAAGTGTTTAGCTAGATAAACTATTACAACAAGATAATTATTATGCTTATTAAGATGCCAATGACTGAACCAAG